TTACTACATTACTACATAGCCTGATTTGACTTACGGCACCAATCAATAGTTGTAACTAGGGTTTCACAATTCAATTTGATTAGATTTGATTTGATCAAATATTTGATCTCAAATCAAATTCAAATACAGAAATTTCAAATCAAATTAAATTCAAATTGACAAAATATTTGATTTGATTCAAAAATACTTAATAAAAATTATAAATAAATTTAATTTGATTTGATCAAATTCAAATATATAAATATTTGATTTAATTCAACTTTAAGAAACCCTAGTTGTAACTGTACTTGTGATATTTGTAACCAAAAAATACCTAAACATAAAATCTAATAAACAGTAAAGGCAAAACTGCCAAATTAAAAAAAAATTTATTGTTATAGTAATATATCACCACTTTTAAACAACCAATTAGAATATAGAATCAGATGTAATATAAAATCAAATCAATTATGATTTTTTTTAAAAATTAACTATAATATAAAATTTTGCCTATAAAACTATTTTTTGTATTTTAACAAAAAAATTTTTCTTAAAATTTTAGATTAAAACTTTTTTGCTAAAGCACTTTACTCTAACTTTAATCTAATCTTCATTCTAACTTTAAACTTTATTATTTTAATTTTATATTATACTGGATTTTATAAAGTGCAATATATTATATAGATAATAAAATATAAAATTATTTATATTTTGTTTTTATAAATGCATGCTCTCTCTAAGTATACATTTTTAAAATTTTTTACTATAGCCTTGAGGGAAGTATATTTAAAGAAGTCTCTGTAATTAATTTTTTAATTATAATTTGATTAGCCAATTAATACAGTATATAAAATTATATTAAATATTCTAAACTTCAAATTAATAGCAATCATTAAAAATAAATTTTTAAAATTTGCACAAAATTTATATATATATTTATATTTTAATAGCTTTGCATTTTTAAAAATTATCTCAGATTTGTATACAAAAATATTTTCAATGTTTTATATGTTTGTTCTAAAAGTTAGTATGTTTATAAAGAAAATATAACTACTATATATAGAAAATAACTATATAAAAAATAGACTATATATTATAATTGCTTTTTTTAAAAAATTTCTTTTTTTAGCTTCTTGAGCAAAAAGATCTATTAAAAAAACAAATAATATTAAAAATAAAAAATAAAATAAAATAAAAAAATATTATATTTTATCTAAATAAAAATTGGATATTCTATAGAATAGGTGGGCAATAAACTCCACTAACAATTAGTAATCATTAATAAATATTTAGCAGAGTTGTGGAGTTTGCGAAGTTTGCCCACCTATTCTATAGAACATCCTAAAAATTAAAATAAAAATCTCAAATATCTCTAATATATATTATAATTATATTTTGGCTAATTTTAACCTAATTTGCTAAAAGCTAAAAATTTATTTTTTCTTAAATATCTTGAAATCCAATAATCAGAATTGAATAAACTTTTTTTTTGTTACAGTCAACCCTCTCTAAATACATATCGTTGGGATCAAACTTTTGGGGTATGTATTAAGAGAAAAATAAGAAAAAATGTATTTATAGAGGTTTGGTATATATTTGGACCAGAAAATTGATATATATTTAAGGAGGTTATGCATTTAGAGAGGATGTATCTAACTTAGGGTGGTTGCGAGGCGAGCTTTTTTTTAGCTCGCCAAATAGTGGCAAGAGTCTCGCCACTATTTGGCGAGATAAAAAAAGCTCGCCTCGCCAGCTTGCCAACCACCCTAATCTAACTGTAAATGCGCCTCACTGAGCTTTTATTTAAAAAAAGTTTATCCAAATTGATGCTAAAATAATTGTAAAAAACTGGTTTTTTTTTGCTTCTTAAATTTAGATATTTTTGCTAAAACGCCAAAACTTGTAAATATCTCTAAATTACATGTCCAGGGTCCTCTAAAATATACTGTATATAAAAAAAAAAAATTTAAAAAGAAAAAAAAAAAAGCATATTATTTATTTATTTTATTATCTAAATAATCTAATTAGTTTTGGTTATACACCTCTGCCAAGCGGGCAAATTTATTATTTATTAGTTCTAATAAAGAATTTAAAAAATATAATACTGTAATATATATATATCACTTTATATAGTGTAGTTATAGGAAATTATACTAGTTTATTCTATTATGTTTATATCACCAAGATATATACTATATAAATTGTAATAGTTTGTTTCCTATATGATATTAATAAAAAATATATATATATAACCTTCTAACCAATAACCGCTTTTCAAATATAACATCTTTGTAAAAAAAAAGATCTTTTTAGCCAAATTTCAATATTGTATATATTATTCGGGGACTTACTATTTATATTTATCATGTTAGTAAAATTTCATACCAACAATCGTTTTATTTCTTTTCTAAATATATAAAATTATTATAATAGAAAAGAAATTTAATGTTTTTTTTTCAAATTACTCCAACCTCCAAAAAAAATGGTTTACATTTGAAAAGAAGTCTATTAAAAAAAAAAAATATGAATGTGGCGACTCTAAAATTATCGCCAAAAAAAACAGTACAAAACTGCAAATGAAATTATAAACATTTACATAGAAATTAAAAAATAAAATAATGAAGGTATAATAATTTCTCTTTATAAAAATTTATTAAATTTGGTATAAAGTTTAAAAACCATTATAATTTAAAATAATAACGCGTCGATTCCACCTTCGGCTGCTTGTTCCTGTTAAATAAAAGTCAATATGTCAAGCTCATAATAGTTATTGATTGAGAATAATCCAGAATAAAGAAATTAGCCACACAAACCTTAACAAACATTTCGAAGTATGAATATATAATTGTGACTGCAAGCAGTATACCAGTACCTGATCCAAGGGCACCTGTAAAGAATGTTGAAAACTTAGAAAATTGGCCTTTATTATATAAATTATAAAAGAAGCCTACCTAGTAAATCGGCAAGAACTGATAAGGCACCAATACAGGCACCACCGAAAGCTGCGGCTGTTGGAATGATACGTTTCAACTCTTTGTATGTTGAGGTCTCACGATGGCCAGCCATTACCATACCCTGATCTTTAAGTTGTTTTGCTACTTCACGCGGAGAAGATCCAGAAACTTCAATCCAAGTTTTTGAAAAAAGTGCGCATGCGGTCAACATGAATGCGATATATATGACGGTATGGATAGGATCCAAAAGTGCATCTTTAATACTATGAGGAGGTGACATGAAATAAGCTAAGCCGCCTGACGCAAACAATTGGGAAGAGCCTTCTTCATAAGGCTATATAAAAAAGAATGGTTTGAACATTATATACAAAATAGCGCATATAAATTAAAATTTAATAATAATAATATACATACACTCCAGACGCCAAGAAGACGAATCAAAAGATTATCCGGGAATCGGGTGTACAACATTTGAGAGATTAGGAAAACGTTTGTAGTAAGGGCAGATTGGAGCATAATTGGCATATTTGAAGTATAAAAGAGCTTAATTGGATAAGTTCCCCGTTGACCACGAAATCGATTAGATTTAACAGGAAGTTCAACACGGAAGCCTTGAAGGTAAATAACAATGCCAAAGACGACAACAGTTGCCAATAGGTTCATGACATTTGGTAAATTTGTTCGATAAAAAGCTTCTTTTAAAGCGCGAAGTTTGTCATTGCGGGTAATAAGTAAATAGAACAAAGCAATGATTGCTCCTTCAAATTCGGGACCTCGACCAGTATTCACAGTAGTTGGACTGAACGCTTTCCAAACGATTGATTCGCAAATGTTGGTAGCAATGAAAAGAGAGATACCAGAGCCAAGACCATAACCCTTTTGTAAGAGTTCATCCAAAAGCATAGAGATAAGACCAGCAAAGACAAGCTGAATGATAAGCAATAAACAGACTCCAGAACCGATTTCATAAGGATTACCATACAATCCAGTCATTACGGATACAGTAGCTTGGCCAAAAGCGAACACCATAGCGAAAAGTTTTTGAGCACCGCTAAATAAAGCACGATCCTCTTTCAAACTGAAATCAACCTCAATGAGGTTAGCACCGGCCAGAAGCTGCATTATCATGCCCGAAGTGACAATGGGAGTAATACCGAGTTCCATCAAAGTACCTCTGTTTGAAGCGAGAATGACACGCAACCAATACAAAGGATCTGAAGAATCAGAGGACATGATACCATATAATGGAATCTGTGAGCACACAAGAAAAATAAAAAGTGTGACAGCCGTCCATAATACTTTTTGGCGGAAAGGAACCTAATAAAAGACAATTGAAATGAATGTTATCTATAGAGTTTTTTTATGATGCATAAAAATGAAAACGGGACTCAAAGCATTGATCAAAATACCTTTCTGTCTGGTGCCGTGACCTCCGGAAGTATGGCTATAAATGGTCGGATGAGATTTAGGAATCGGACTATAAAAAATTGAATTGCTTAGTGATTCAAAGTCTTTATTAAATTATTAGTAGTACGAAAGCAAATTGTTAATACATACAACCCATTGGAATCAGTTAGCCAGAAAACAGAATAAAAAAACCGTAGTTAAAGAGAGTGAGGTGGAATATTGGAATCAACAACGAAGAAAAAAATGTCTTATATGTACATGAAAAAATTTCTAAACTGAATCTAAACTTTAGAACCAATTAAATTCATCCACGAATTTATTTATATCTTATCCTAATTCTTTATCCCATAATTAGATTTGATCAGTTACACGTAATATTCTTCAATTGTTGATTTGTCCTTCAAACTTTCGACTCTCGATTAGTTGAATAAATGGCGCCCTCTCCTCAATATATAGTTGGTTCGCCCATTAATAGGGGACAAGGATCTAGTAGTAACAATAATGGCAACTTTTTTTCTCGCTTCCTTCGCGATGAGATCTTTGCTCCAGAAAAACGTCAGGGTAACCTTGACATCGTAATCTCGGTTGGCGTATTCTTTGCAACCATAGCTTTTTTGCAAAATTATCCCGACCTAGTGTCCTGCGGACTTTAAGGCTCGGGTCGCGATCCAAACCTTTTTTTGAATTATGACATTAGTGCATTGTTTGGGTTTGGGAATCAGAATTTCTACTTCATTTGGGATAATAATCAAAATTCAAATATATGTCCTATTTACGATCAATAACCAATAAAACTTGTTAAATTGTTATTGTCATTTTCAAATTAAGAAATTAAGAATCTAAGAATGAAGACAGGTATGTCGAATAATGTGTATTAGATTTAATAGTTATATACAATAAGTGAAAAAAATTAACTATAAAACTGAAAGCTTTTCACATCGAAAAATAAAACTTCGAATCGTAAATAAAAAAGAAACTTGTTTATCATGTTTCTTTCGGAATGCTTAATAGTTTTTAGAAAAGTCCCTTATTGTTATCCTAGTTTTGATCACAGTCAGAAAGATAATTGAAACTAAAAAACAGAGTATTATAATGTTAGTAAATTAACGCAGAAATCTATATAAGTAAAGGCTAATTATTGAAACGGGGTATAAGCTTGTCAATCAGTCGTTTACTTTTATAAATGCGTTATGGTTTAATACTTTAGTGCGATGCCACTTTTTCTATCTCCTACAAATGTGAAAATTTTAATTCCAATGCTCTCTAAAGTCAGTCTTCACACTATTCGTAGTGACATGGTAGTTAATAATAGTTTTTTAAAGCATACATCTTTGAATTTAATCCTAATCCTTGGTTTTTAACGAGAGTATGTGCATCGGCATTCTCTAAACGGGATCTTATACTTAATCTCTTTAAGTGACAGCCCTGGTTTCCCACCCATGTTTATAATAATTTAATTAGTAATTCGTGAGAGATGGAAAGTATTACTATAGTAATACTATATATACATGAGGGGATATTAAATATAATAAAAACAATTAATACCTATAATCTGGAGCCGGAATTGAAATTTCTCAATTCCTGTCAAGTTAACATCTTTTGTATTTCTAACAAAACTTGTAGAGGCGAGTTTCTCTTTCTAATAGTAGTAAAGTCATCAAAATTGGCCTGATGGTTCGTGAGATATTCTTAGTCATTATATGAAATTTCTTTGCAGATTTGCAAAGAAAATTTCATATAACCACAAAGACAAAATAAGAATATCTCACGAACCATCAGGCCAATTTTGATGATTTTACTACCATTAGAAAGAGAAAACTCGCCTCTACAAGTTTTGTTGGAAATGTTAACTTGAAAATTTCAATTCCAGCTCCAGATTATAGGTATTAATTGTTTTTACTATTAAATTTATTAAATTGCCCATTTCTATATATAGTAATTCTTTCCATCTCTCACGAATCATGAATTAAATATTCTATCTTATATACTATAGATGCGAATTTTGCATATATTCGTGTTATAATGTACCTTGAGGGAAATGACCACGTCTCAAATTCATCGAAAAGCCATCACTAATAAAATTCATCTGTTCCCGTTTACTTCGAGAGTGATCGAGATTAAAGATCGTTTTTCAAAAAATCAGTCACGATCGTTGCAAATTCGAGAGGTTTCTCAGCATGAACTATAATAGAATAAATTGTAGATTAACATAGAATTGGATTCATATTATTAGTATTAACAAACACTAGAATTACCCCAATGACCAGTATCTAACTCAACAATCGTCGAATTGGGAAATAACGTTTTAATAGTGGGATGGATCTTGAATAAACAATTCATACTTTATGATTAGCAAGTAATAATGAGCAGATTAAAAATGTATTGAAGCATTGAATTAACCTTTGGAGGGATATAATCCGACTTGATCCCAGCAACAAAGAGCGTACTTTTATGAAAAGTGTGACGATCAGAATCAAAAGGAAATCCGTTCAATGTTTTAAGCGAATTGCCAAGCACGTCTAATGGAATACGAAATTTGTAAACATCTGTTTCTGGAGCTTTTTTAAGATTCGTCAACAAAAATTGCCGTATGTTAATGTCCTGTTGGTTTAACAAGATTTAAGTGACGTATAGTAAAGAAAATGCATCATGTTATCTTAGAAAAGCATGTCTATTTTACCGAAATATAACCTTTCATTATTTCATCAGCCTGGCTTTGCTTCATGACTCCAGCTTGCTCAACTTTTTTCATTACTTCGACATAAGTACTAAACTCTTTTGATATGTAAGCATTGGTTGGTGCACTATCGACGACCACAAGCTGATCAATCTGAGGTGCTTGCATAAGAGCGATGGTCATAGCAACCTTCCCTCCCCTAATCAACAAGTTTATGGTTTGTTGTAATTCCAACTAATCTTAATAAATGCTTTAGAGATATGCTATACATACATAGAATGTCCCATTACAACTGTTCTTTTAAGCTGGCGTTCATTCATAAATGTTACAACATCTTCGGCCATAACCTCATAATTGTGCACCTCAGAATGTGGACTTTCGCCATGGTTTCTTAGATCCTGAAAATTCAAAATTTATTAGAAATATACAGTATATAAATAAATAAATATATGTGAAATTAGTCTTTACCAAAGTAAAGACGCGAGTATTTAATCGTTGAGCGAATACTTTTGCCAATGATCTCCAATTCTGTTTTGAGCCAAATAATCCATGAAGAATTATTAGTGGGCTACTTTCATACGATCCATTTCGCATCGGTGGATCAAATTGAATAAAGGATAGTTTAACAATATTTGAAGTAGTGGCATATTTTCGAATTAAATTAGTGTTTTTAAGATTCTGTTTATAAATTGGCAAATTCAAAAGTATATGGGAGAATCTCGATGCCATTAAGTATTTTATAACTAGAAAATGAATTATCAAGGAATAAAAGCTCGTTACTAAATATTATCTAAAGAGTTCAAGTAGAAAAGTACCAGAATGAATGAATTTACTCGTAGACGTTATAGCAAGATAAATTAAGAAATTTTTGTGTAAATCGAAAATGATCGGTTTCTGGAAAAAAAAACACTTTTGGCAAAATATATTATTCTAAACCAAGCAGTATGCAGAGCCAGTATTTTTGATACGTAACAGGATTGTGTTATTCGGAAATATATACTATTTTAAACGTTTTTTCCCTCTAGCAATCGGCAATCTCCATTATAACAATAGAATTTATCATTTCAAATTTTTTTTACAAATCAATTAGTTTATTTTGTTGAGACATAAAATTTTAATAAAATAAAAAAAATATATATACTGTACAGTATTTACTAATGATCATATGACAATGTTTTTGCACTAATCGACCAAAATATGTTCTTTTTTCTGTACGATAAGATATTTGTCTTTGACAATAATGTAGTCACATTTTTGCCCTTCGTACTAAGCATCATTATTTGATTCTATTGAATTCAAGGGATTTCTTGTCCGATGCTCTGTCACATTCCCCCCATCAGTTGGCCCTTCTTCACGTTGCATCATAGCAGTAGCTTCCATAACTCTTGATTGTCGCACCTGTGAATTATTAGGTGATCCACTATTAGCTGTCGAAGTGCTTGACCCTTCACTCTTGGGTGGATTATTTTCTGGTAGTTCCGACTTTATTTCTAAGACCTTGGTATTGTATCCTCGGCATTCAGGGCATTTATGATATGAAAAGTGATAACTGACAGTACTACGTATTTCACAGTCATTGCATAATATGTGTGCAACGAAATTCTCATATTCGGGTGGCATTTTTTGTTGAGCAACAATAGCATCGATCCGCCGAAAATAAATTTCCATGTTTGCAATAGACTTGCAGCATGTTGGACATTGGTATGCAGTTTTGCTGTATTCTATAAAACACTCCTCATGCAAACTATGACCACATAACTAATATGTAAATAATAATTGAATTTAATTTAATCAAAGTTTGAATTTAATCATTTCTAAAACAAAAGCATACACTTACCATTAGATGAGGTTTCATTGTTGATGAAAACAAATATTCTCCACAGATCATGCAATCACGATCCAGATTCTTTTCAATACACTTGTGCATGCCCTTCAGGTGGCTCTGTAAGCAACAATCACATACATCGCAATGGAAAAAATCTTTACTTCGCCCCTGGCGGCAAATTCCGCACTGATCACAATGATAAATGTCTCTAACCGGGTGATCATCCCAGAATTTACATTTGTCACAGTAATACCGAGCTAATTCTTGTTTGCAATTATTGCAAGCTTTGTTGGCAGGTTGAATAGTCTGACAATACATGCACAACATATTTTTGGTAGCATGCCTAGTAATAACATATAATATCAGTTTTTAAAATCTAAATGTTGATAAGTATTGTCAATGTTTGGGAATTTTTAATCTTGCCTGTCAATTTTATGATCACATTTTTCATCGTGACAAAATCGACATGTAAAAAATCTTTTACAGCACTCTGCTTGTAATTTTGATCCTCGTTGATAGTGTTTGCACCCAAATTTTTGCGATTTTTCATACTAAATATCAATTAATTTATAAGAATAATTTATTTCATTGTTTTTTCATATAGGTAGAATAAAAACTAATGCTTACAGTATATGTTGGTTTGAGGTCATCTTCGATAAATTCATCATCGATATCGATATTTAAATTGTCTGTTGGTTTTTTTTCATTTTTCCGCCAATGAAACGTCATCAAATCCTAAAAAAAAAAAAAAAAAGTGAAAGAAAATCTAAGACATTTAAATAATAAAATCTTAAATAAAATTAAAAACTGTAAATATTAGTTTACTTGAACTTTCTTCGCCTTTTCATCCCGAGGTATGTTAAGATCATTTTGTATACTAAGAATAACTTTCCTCAGTTCATTCTGATATTCTAAATCCACCTTGACTGGTTTACCTGAATTTTGTCTTGTTGACGTTTCTCCAATCTCACTCATTTCTTCAACCGCTTCAACATCTGACCATTCATCAAGATCGTTGTCAAGAGTTATACGATATCTATCGACTTTTAAAAATTAGCATGCGGTAAATCAGTGTAAAGTAGACTTGTGGAAATGTACAAAAGGGAATTTAACGAACCTGCCATGTTTAATTCTCACAACTCAGTGATCTAAATTTTATATAAGTGCGATTTTGTGGTAGTACACTGGTAGTACAATAATTCATTATAAGATACGTGGGTTACGTATTTTTTTTTGTATGTTTTGCTTTTGCAATTTTTTATAAATTCTGTCTTTACAAAACTATTGTATAAAACCTTAAAAGAGAATCAACACATTTTAATAGGAAAAGACGACTATGTCAGAAAGTACACAAACCTCAAGTTCCGAGCATAATGATACGACTCCGTCAATGCGAAGAAAAAAAGCCACGAGGGCTTGTTTCCATTGTCAGAAAGCTCATTTGACCTGCGACGATTGTAGGTTACAGCTATTTTAAACACATACATATTAATCTAAATATTGAATACATTTATTTACTTCATCATACCCTTTTCTTATAAACAGCTAGACCCTGTCAGCGGTGTATTAAACGAGATCTAGCGGCCTCATGTACTGATGGTATTCGCAAAAAGGCAAAGTACTTGCAAGATTCACATTATGATGGTGCGCGACCAATATACAATATAATCAATTTCCGATTTTGTTGATCATATAATTATTTGGTATTTTTGATCAAAGAATTATAATGGAAAAAGCACTTTATTTATTGTCAAGTGTGGTGGTTAATGGAGATTTTGCAAGTTTTTCAACCAACCGATATTCACTTTTACTAACCACTAGTGTATGAAATAATCGATCATAAATTTTATTACAATGACTCTACACCGACTCCCATTGAACAACAATCTACCAAACAACAATTTCCACCTACTCCTGTACTTACACATCCTCCAACGCCTTTGCAACAAACTCACCCCGGGCCATTTACCACATATCACGAAAATGCTGCTTCGTCCTCGCTTATTGATAATAATCGACAATTTATGCTGGTATGTCAAGTCTTTTTGTCTTAAGCAATTTCAACAAGACCGTTATTAAAAGTTAAATGTTAATCTTAAAAAAAAAAGCCTAAAACTGTTGATGAAACGGTTTACTTGAAATCATTGGGGCATTCTATTCCGACTTCTCCAATATCTCCATTATCATCACATTTTGCCGATCATTACAATTATCAACAATTATTCTATTCTCGACAACATCGTTCTCACTATATACATAATCTTGGTCAATCTATGTTTACAGCCTCACCACAAACGAATCAGACGGTTTTTATGCATAATGGATTTCAACCCACACCTAGTGAGTATTCAAACTGATATAGTGTTCCATAATAAAAAATCGACGACTCAGAATTATTACAAGACATGTAGAACCCAAATTATATGATTATGTGACTTTATGAAATTTATGTTGGAATTAATTGTACGGTGATGAGGGTACAATATTTCATTATTTTTGGGTCATTAACCATTCTTATGAATCCTTTTAATTTTATTTTTTAGATAATATTGTGGATCCTAGTACGTTGTTTGGCCCAGAAAGCTACTCTCTTGCAACTGTTAACTATGGTTTCGGATCTGAGGCCGTTAACCTTGAATACTCAATCCTAAGTAATATGTTATCCACGGCTTCTACAGAGTCGTTAGGTCCACATAACGGTTTCGCAGATATTGGTATGATCGATCAGAATTGGCAACAACCACAGTTACAACGTACGACAAGTCCTGTCATGACGACAGCTGGTGGTATTAACGGAGGTAGTACCAGTCAAAAAAGAGAAAATTCCGGAAAAAAGAAAATGAGTTCAATTACACCGGAAAATGTTTATGCGAATGTCAAAGCACCATTTTCATATACGGAAGGATTTCATTATTTGGTAAATTGGGTTAAAGAGAGGTAACAAGATTTTTATATTTAATGTGTAAGGATTAGTTAATCTGTTACGAAGGTAAATCGCCATGTATATATGTATGTATATGTATGTATATATGTTAGAATGGAAAAAGATCATATCGAGAGAATTGTAAGAGCGTTGGCTACATTTCGGCCATCGTTTATTGCACTCATAATGAACTTGACTGAAGAAGATTTGATCTTCATGGAAAAATGTTTCCAGAGAACAATTTTAGTGAGTCATTGTATTTTTATAAAATATTGCCTGCATAGTGTTGCATTAATATGCTAATATAATACGATTTTTTATTTTAATTATTTTGTTTGTTTTTTTCTTTTTTGTGACGAGATAGGAATTTGAGAAGCTTATAAGTTTTTCTGGAACACCAACGGTTGTTTGGCGTCGAACAGGAGAAATTGCCTTAGTAGGCAAGGAATTTTTGTTATTAACACAATGGACTAAAGACCAATTACTTGGTAAAACAACATATATATACGAGGTATAGAATCATTTCTAACTTACTTATTAATGCATATAGGAATTAATTTTCATAAGTAAATATTCGTTGTTTTAAGGTCATGGATAATCAATCTGCTGTAGAATACTGGGAAAAATTTGCGGCACATGCATTTGATAATTCAAGACAGTCCGTAATGACTACATGCATTCTTATGAGACCATCTGGGATGCCAGTTCCTTGTGCTTTCTGTTTTACAATCAAACGAGATATATTTGATATTCCGTTAGCTATTGTAGGAAACGTAAGTATTGTAAATCTGACCCGGCTTTTGCATTTCTAATGTTCTAATGTCAATATTCTCAATTAAAATTTACACTACTTTTTTTAGTTTTTACCAATCTTAAGTTGACCATGAAAAAGAATAAAGAGTGGGAAAATATTATAAATGTTACACAACAGTAAAAAAAGATTTTTGGCCACACCCAACCTGTTATTAATATTTTTCAGTGGTGTACACAAGCGTCTAATGCGGTAATCATATCCCAAAGCCATAGCCATTGATTTTTACCCAAATTAGAATAGATAGTTATCTCTATAAATATTCTGACCAGAGGCTTTACAATTATTTTTTTAAGTATAACGATAATGCTCGCAGTTTATCTTTATCATAGTCACATGAGAAGCACATATCTATATAAATTTATTAAAAGTTTAATTGTTTCTAATCGGAATTTTTGAATGTTGACATTTAGCATCACATCCACAAATGCTAATTAATGTTTAAATGTGTATCAAAAAAGTGAGCAGCCTATGGTGATCGTTAACGAATTTATCGTTATACTGTAGTTTGTAAAAAGTTAATTACTGTTGGTATCGGTAACACACTATGCATATCCCTAAAAAGGAAAACTGCATTAAGAGATTTATAACGTGTAGAATTCTAACTAGGCACTTTTCTAATTTGAAAAAAAAGATGCCATCCCAAGAAGTGGCAGATGTCGAAACTCCACTATTTCAAAGACCAATAATAGAAAATGCAATAAGTACAGAAGAGCTTTTAGATGAGCCCAATAAGAATGTACACGAGTTTATTGAATTTGGAGATAAAATAGCCGAAGCTCAGGTAGATACTGGAGAAGTAGTAAGCAGTTTTTCTTGGAAAAAGCTGTGGAAATACACTGGACCCGGTAAGCTTATTTATTTACATGCTTTATTAAAATATTTTTATCTTTAAAAAAAGTTCGCTTATCTAGTGATGACTGAATGACTAGATTGCTCACATGACTCTAAATTATGTAATTTTGCTCACCAAATTCTTAAGGATTCACCAAATTTATTGATTTTTTTTATTCTATTCAATAGGGTTCCTAATGTCTATCGCTTACCTGGATCCGGGTAATTTGGAAGCAGATCTTCAATGTGGTGCAGCCGCTGGATATTCCATGGTAAAAATCATCAACTAAATTTTTTTCACTAGCTGGAAATTATTTTATATATGTTTGTATTTAACATAATGTTTGCCTCTTACTATCCATTTTTTATTAAATCTAGCTTTGGATTTTGCTATATGCTCATATCGCGGGATTCCTTATTCAAGTGCTTTCTGTTAGATTGGGTGTTGTTACGGGACAACACCTTGCGCAACTTATAAACAATAACTATTCACGTCCTATTTCATTAATGTTTTGGTTAATAATAGAACTTGCTATCATTGGCTCAGATATACAAGAAATTGTTGGTACTGCTATAGCACTCAAAATAATCTTACGATTACCTCTCTGGATAGGTACTTTATTAACGGCTATGGATACTTTTACCTTTATGTTACTGCAGAATTACGGTGTGAGGAAATTAGAAGCATTTTTTATGGCGTTAATTTCTGTTATGGCGATCTGTTTTTGGGTTGAGATGTTTCAAAGTAAACCCGAGGTCGGTGAAATATTTAAAGGGATAATAATTCCTTTAGTGCCAAGTAATGCAGTGGTGGAAGCTGTTGCATTGATTGGTGCTGTGATTATGCCTCATAATTTATATCTACATTCTGCTTTGGTGATGACGCGTAAAACGGATCGTAATTCGAAATCAAAAATTAAAGAAGCCAATTTTTACTTTGGAGTCGAAAGCGCTTTGGCATTACTTTGTTCATTTCTCATAAATATGGCCATTGTTGTCGTGTTCGCTAGTGTATTTTATTCACATAACAACATAAAAAGTTTACCAGGCTTGTATGATGCAGCCGATGTTTTATCAAGAACGCTAGGTAGCGGTGCGAGATATTTGTGGGCTGTGGGATTGCTTGCCGCTGGCCAGAGCTCTACAATGACAGGAACTTTTGCCGGACAATATGTTGTGGAAGGATTTTTTGGCAAAATATTTTCAAACCCATGGAAGCGCGTCGCAGTCACTCGAGGAATTGCGATAATTCCCTCCATGTTGGTGGCTGTATTCGCGGTTGGTTTTTTTTTTTTTGAACGTTCGGTTTTATGTCAATTAAATTAATTTTTTTTTTTTTTTAACAGGTTAATCATTTCGACACGATGGGAGAACTTCTCAATGTTTTACAAAGTCTTTGTTTACCCGCTACATTAATTCCAATTCTTAAACTTATTAGTTCAAAAGATGTTATGGGTACCTTTCATATACACCATACGTTCAAATACATCACGTGGATTGTCGCTCTCCTTCTTATATGTTTTAATCTTTTTATGTTTATATCATATTTGGAAGAACTACCTAATGTATATATTGGTTATACATGTGGGCTTATGTATTTTGCATTTATATTGTATCTTATTTTATTGCCGATTGGAGGAAAAAAACCAACTGTTATGGAAACCAATAATACAAACGGATACCAAGTAATAAATGAAGTAGGTGTTGATTCGTAATTAAAATGGGATTAGCAAGTCTATTATAAATTCACCGTTCTTTATATCTTCATCAGTATTTATAGAAAAAAAAAAAGCAATTCACTAGATAAATGTAAATAAATGCAATGAAAAAGGTTAAATTTTGCACAATAAATTAATTTTGATTTAGGTTTATATTTATAGATTATGCATATAAAAATTCCTGTCAAGCATATAAAACTTATAGAAAATAACTTTCCAATGGACAAATGCCACATATAACTTATATATTTTTTTCATTTGAATAACCTCCAAATTATTAATTTACATTCAATAATGCTTGTATATAAATAAAATTATTATATAATATACACAACACATCACACGCTATAAAAGATATTGATGCTAAATTTAAAATGACTACAAAAATAGAACCCAGCCTATAATGTATACATAAAATATTTATTTACTAGTAAATTATAATGCTTGCTGTTTTTTCCTCGCGTATGTAGTAAGATCTCTAAAGAAATATTAAAATAAGTAAAAATTCAAATAAGATAAAATCAATTACAGAGAATGATATTCAATTTTCCATACGTGATTATGCTAGTCCAATGGACGCTCACAAATGTCATACAGCATTTTAAATTTTCTGGATCTCGTACAGGTCTATCGGTTATTGATTGTGAAAGTCTTTTCAATGATTGAAAAAATGAGTTAGTTGAACCCGTTTTTTGACTTCGGGTTGTAGATTTACCATTTTGATTATTGGTAATTGTATTATTCCCTGGCCAATTATTATCAGGTCCTGAGCCAGGAAAAGTAATATTTGTAGATGGAGGAGATGTGGATTGAGATGTACTATCTAAAAAATCATCTTCCAAAGATGATGCCGTGATAGCCACCTGTCGTTAATAAACATTAAATTGGTTATGATCATGCATCTCTTCTACATTTTCTTAATTTGAAATTGTAAAGGAATTTAACGTGCTGAACTATATATGACAAGCTCAAGAAAAAAAAATTATTGATAACAGACCTGAGCATGTCCCTTTCCACCTGGTCCTCGCATCATGATATATTCTGTAGGTGGTGTCTGAGGACCCATTTTAAATCTTCTATTATGTTTGTTTGCTGTTTTCTGCTTGTAAATGTCTAGCAAAGCACTATAAGAAGCTGCACCTTGAAACAAGGTTATTTTTGTATCATTATGCTGTGGAAATGGCTCATTTGTCATAGACTTTCGATGTCGACTATTACGCCTAGTACCATCATAATAATCATCATCACTATCATTATCACTAAAATCTTCATCTTCATCTGATTTATTTGGTATCGTCACAGCCAATTCAACACACAAATATTCACCATCACTGACAATCAAATGTTCAAACATTTCTTCATAATCATCTATAACATAATAAATAACTGGATAGGAGCATTCCATGGATGTTTCCTTAATATCCATTCTTGATTTGGTTGGAAGTGCATAAACACGTTTAGATACATGCTTCCTTGAGCATGTCATACTCGTTTTTTGGCTAGGTCCATCTGCGTTATCAGCTGGTGTGCGAGTGCATACAGCAACCGTTAATTTACATGGTAACTAAATATAATAACATATTGGTATAAATAAATTTGGTAATAGACGATGATTAAAAGAAATCAATGAAAATCACACCTGAACAATCAAATTGAGAAAAAATGTTTCTTTCCATAATACTGCATCATCAAGACTTGGCATTACACGTGGTGTCGGTTTTCTTTTAACAAACACTGGATCAAGGTCTTCATTATCAGGGTTTGTCTGTCTAACGAAGAACAGCAAATCATCGTTCTTACTATCGCTGTTATCAAGAAAATATTCTATAAAAAGATCTGGCCATCTTTACATGTTATTTGATTAACAGCCGTAAAAAAAGCCCAGTTAACATCATTTCGTAAATAAGATCTGTTATAACTTGGTATATAAAACAGTAAGCTCTTTACCTTGGATCCCCAGCATCCAGATCTTGATCATCTCTCTGTTGAAACGTGGCATATAATTCAGTTTGCGAACCGTCGTTTCTCGATACTCGAGGTTGATGTGAGGTTGAAACAGAGTTTATAGGCCCGTGAAGGTTTTCAACAATGAGACGATCGAGAATAAGTTGGAGGTGAGCCATGACTTCCAATCTTTTCTATGACAAACGGTTGTCAATTAAGATAAAAGGACAAAATAAGGAAAGAGAGACACGAGACTTGTTTAAAATAATATAGATTTTCGCACATCGTGATAGAGGTGCGATAACAACACCAGGGTGTAGAATCGATTTTCTGTGCACGTGATTTTTCGAAGTCAATTAGCCAATTAAAATCGCCTCAAAATTTAGACTAATAAATCGACCTTGTGATTCTAGTAGAAAATTTTCTTCGACACTTTTGCTTTACTGTAGCTCCCTCCAAACCATAACTTATACTCAAACCCTATCATTAGTTAATTGTTTATTGATGTTGGGAAATCACGTGTTCTGAAAATCGATCCTATTACTTAAATCTGTATAACAGATAATGCCGATACGGATTACTCAAATATCAGATATGTTTCGTACGTACGCATATTCTCGCGGCATGCCGACTTAGCTGTTAGGTAGCGCACCCACAAAAATTGTCCTACCCCCGTAATTTTTACGATGAATAAAACCTCGTTATAGTTAGGGTTAGGGTGAGAACAGTGTTGGAAATATTAGTAAAATTTCACGAGGAACATTTTTAATTAGGCCGCAGAAGATGGTTTCTTAATTAAAATTTCGAATAAATGGTTTCGCTTCGATTGTTTACGTTACACCTGATCTTGAAATTTGATTGGTCAAAAAAATCACGGAAGGGAACAAATTTTGTAGGTGCGCTAAGGGGTTGTGGGTAGTCACTAGTGTTCCGCATGATTCGGGTCTGGTGGGTATTTTTTAAAGATTCGAACCCATCTAATCTCATAGACAGAAGTTCGTCTGATTGGCTAATAAATTCAATTTAATTTTACATTATTTATACAGTTTAAAGTACTTT